GTTCTTTGAATTGTCATTGCGAGTGTTTCGTACAGTACGTGTTGTGATGAGGCCACTTCTGTTTTTTTGGCGAACCCCGGTCTTCTCGTGGCCAAAACTATTCACGGCCTCGTAACGAACAAAAAAAAAGTCAGCGAGAGAGAAGCCAGACCCGACCCGCGGGCTCGGGCGGCCCGATCTTATCTCTAGTCAGTGTCACCTGTCAGCTCATTGTCGTCCCGGTGCGCCGTTTTATTTCGAATCACCCGCGAAACTATTTGTTGGCGGTGATGTCGGAATCCCGTCTCACGAAGCTTCGGGCGGAGCAACGCGCGTTCCGAGGCATCGGGCGTGGCCACAAGCGAAATCGACACATGCCTCGAAGCGCGCTTCGCAGATTTTCTTCCGGTTTACTCGGCACACGCATCGGAGCCTCGGCACAGTCAGGCACATCACTAGTCTACAATGAATCAACAAGTTGCAGACTTTGCAGATGACAAATGTCCGCCTGGGCGCGACAGACGTTCTCAAACCGTCTTTTGATGTTCAACAACACTTTGTTCCCGAATTGTTTATTCTCACTTTGTGACCGAGTCTAGCCTTCTTCCCTCTGTTCGCCCCCTTGCTTTGACGTGATAATTGTGGACTTCAAAAGCCCTCCGGTAAGACGGCCGACGCGTTTGCGCACAGGCATTTGGGGGCGCTGGATACGCACCCAAACGTCTAGATGTGCCCAAATTAAATGAAACTTTAAACATGATACAATTTTGCTCATAGATTTCTCTATCACCTTAACAATGTAAAAAAAATAAAAACAAGTGAGCTATTATGGTCTTATAACGGGTTACCATATGTCGTTTGTATTTTCCCGTGTTTTGAGACCCATTACTGGTCCACCGCTTCAGGGTTGGGAACTTTTACTACAAAACACAATGGTACGTTACCAATAAATTTGAAATTGTTGCACATTGATGTTTGTACCTGTTAATTTAAAGTCAACTAGGGGGAACTAAACAACGACCAGATGAGCAGATCCAAACGTACTTCATTTGATCAATTAAGGTAGCATTTCATATTTGCCATCACTCTTCCAGAACTGGACTCCAGGGTCCACAGAATCCTAATGGAAGTTTCAGGCTTTTTCATACCGGGTGACACACGATGTGATACAAGGCTTGTTCTGCATGCCTGGACAGGTCCTATTTGTCTGGAAAAGGGCATCACAAACTGCCCAACTCATGATACATCCATGCTCACACTTTCCCTCCTGAATGTCCATTCTCCACCCGAAAATGACATGAACACAATTGCTGTTTGGTCCAAAAATGGACCTGAAGAATGAATCACTTTGACCCCAAGCCCTTTTATGAGCCTGCCGCCGACATTGTAATGTTGTGCAAATACGATCGCACCATTTAGCAACGAATCTGCATATGTTTTGCATAACATTGAATTGACTGTTGATACAGACGACTGAAACATTTCCGACAGTTGTGTAAAAGAACATTTTAATGCTTAATGGAGGATGAGTAATTGCAGCCTGATCGTACCTCCCACAAGATTGGTTTTCATCCGAGGGTGCTAAATGGACAGCCGAGTATAATTTAAGTTTAAAGGGGCCAATGAGAGGAAGACCTATGCACTGGTAGTACCAGCATGAGGCCAGCAGTTTGCCAACTTCCTCACAGTAGCAGTAACAAAACGTTGGTATACAAGCTGTTGGAAGCGCTATGGGAGGTGATGAAAATGAAATTTTCATCTTGTGTCCCTACACACATCACTCTTAGTGCCCCCTGGCACATTGATTCGGAGATGAAGAAGAGCCTCGGCCTCAGCGTGATCTTAAACGCGATGACACAGGATTCTGTCTCTGATTCTTTGGACAGGTGCATGCTGGGTGATTTATGTGGCTTCCTTATGCAGGTCCCCGGGAGCAAATATTGACTGTTTATTTCTCCGAGCTCAAGGCAACAGGGGATGCAGCAATTTCTTTATTTTGGGACAAGAGATAAATTGATCCCTGCAAGATGCAAACAAACCACCCCTCCCCACCCCTCAGGACAAATCTTACGTTAGAGAGAAAAGAACTACAAGTGAATTACTGGCGTTAAAAGACACAGAAACTGGCATTGCGATGTACACTCGCCCCAACAGCTTGCGTTGCCGATAGAAAGGCAGATGACAGAAACCATCACATGTCCAATCAGCTGGGGTCTGATTTTTCTCTCTCCATAAATTGCCCTTTCAGAGAGGCATTAGCAGCACAGATGTGAGCCTGACCTTTTTTTTTTTTTTTTGTTTGGTGTTGGCCATGTGATATGGAAGCTATGCAAACGCTCAATCAGCCAGAGCAAACAATTATTGTACAAAGGCCAGAATCAGGGTTTCAGCCTTGATGAATGATTACAAAAGGAATAGAAAAGGACCAGAACAATGCACGGTTAGTTAAATCCACTGCTACCTCTTCTGGGAAATTGTTAGCGGCACATATTGCTGCTTTTCATGCAACTACCATGGGTTGGTTTGTTTATTTTTCAGAATATTACACACATCTTAGCCAACTAATTTCTGTGAAACTTTATTGATGAACGGCCAGCAAACACCCATGACATTTCGGTGCAGCTCATGAACTGGTGCCACCTGGTGTAACGGCTAAGCAAAATCCAGCGGATTGAGCTGCAAGTACCTGTCATGATCCCGTCTCAGTCTCCAAGCTGGGAGAGTGGGTGTTCCCTCACAAGTTGCACCTGTTTGGAATCTATTCATTTGTTCATCTATCTACACCGGCAACGTATAGTGACAGGCAACCGTCCTCGAAATGACAGAAGTTACAATTTATCGTCTTTCATACAACAGAATAAGTCAGGGCTTGGTATATGAGCGACTGCATCAACTTTGTGTTCAGCTAAGTACATTTGTGAAAAAAAATGACATTATTTCCGTGCGATTTTTGTGACATTTTCATTCTGTGATGACATTTTAAAGTAAAATATGTGCCCTGGCTCAATTAACGTTGTGAAAGGCTGCTTTCGAAAAATATTTAAAAACATTTCAGGCCCATAGAACAACAAAGCGTTTTGCTAAATTATCCTGTGTTGACATATGGGTGAAATAAACAAGGCGATATTAACACAAATGTACAAGCGTTCCTTTACTAAAACACCCTTTTATTCTGTTCTCAGTTTGTGTTTTAAGCCATTGAAAAGCCACACGCGGAATTATGTTCTGGAACCATTAATATTCCAAGAGACAAGGCAGTGGAGCAAAACTCTGCATCTGTCTGATGTTTTTGTTAGTTCATAATTAAACAGGGGTGCCTATTAGAAAGCAGACAGCGGCACAGCCTAACTTATGCAGCATTTTAATGCTAACTTTGATGTGTCAGGAACAAGATATTTCCACCGAATGCCTTTAAATTCTTATCTTTTTTTTTTCAGCAAGTGGTGTGAACTCCTCTTGAAGTGACAACTGCACAGAGCTGCAATCTTACTTTGATTGAGATAAACTGTAATTATACTGATTAGTGATTTCTGTTTAGTTGTATACAATTGAAGTGTAGTTTGCTCTCACATAAATTTCTAAGCAGCCTTTAACACACGTGCCATAACACTGCCTACACAGTGTATGACACATGATGTGGTATGCTTTGGAGCACAGCTTTCTTTCCTGCTTTCCCCTTGGCTGTCTCTTCTTTTCTCATTTTCATTATTATTGAAGATAGCTTTTGACTCACCTTGACTAACACCTTCTGTTACTCGTTCCAAAATATAAGGTGATGTTCACTTACGAAAAGAATCAATGGTAAGCGATAAGGTTTCTTATCTGGGTTTCATCCTGCATTAAATTAAATCCTCAGAGTTTTTCAATAAAACTTTTGTGTAAACAGCAGATTAGCCCCACGTGGCTTCAACGGCAGAATAAGATAAGCAGAACGACTCTCCCACACTTCAAAGCAGGCTCATTTAAATATTAAATCAAACTACATCATTAATTAAAAAGGGAGTAATGGCACAGGCACAGAGTTTCTTCAGTGCATTTTGGCAAATGCAAGGCCAGAAACACTTTGTGTGTGAGAGAGAGCGAGAGAAAGAGA